TACTTTTCATATATATATCTTCATTGGTAGGTAGAACGAGTGGTTGTGGACTGGCTGGTTAACAAAACTAAATACGTGGCTTCCTGGTAGATCACATTTTCCATAAGCATTGAATAAAAATTGAGTGCTAACAAAATAACTATAATTCATAAAAAGAATGCGTCGTCTTATAGATCACAAACTTTGAACGTTAGCAACATTATGTTACCTACCACCCTCGCTTAATATATACTAGATATTTTCACATCATAAACTATATAGAAATTATTCCTCTAAGATCATAAAAAAGTGGATACACGATCAGCTGTTTAAACAATTTTCACTCTGATCAGTTTCAAAAAATATAGAAAGTAAGGCTATAGATTCTTTACATTGTTTTTAAATGTTTTTTTTAAACCATTTTTTAAAACTGTGTTTCTTCATTGCATGTGATTTTTTTTTATCAAATAGTGGGAACAGAGATGGTAATGGTTCACGAGGTTCCTTTTCCTCCACAGATCCTCACTTCCAAGCCACTCTCTCTTCTTGGTCAAGGTGAGTGTGTTTTGGCTTAAACATTAATACATTTTTTGCATCCATAGTATTTTGCTACCTTAGTAAATGTAATACAATCTTAGGTAATAACTTTCTTGTGGATTGTCATTTCTTTTTTGTAGGGATCACAGACATTGAAATCCATTTCCTCCAAGTGAAGTTCACAGCGATCGGTGTTTACTTGGATCCTTCAGATATTAAAACACATCTTGGAAAATGGAAAGGCAAGACCGGAAAAGATCTGGCCGACGATGACGATTTCTTCGACGCTCTTGCCTCCGGTAAACTCAATTAGTCCATATTTTACGTTTCAAATCAAATTGGAATTAAGCCTCTCCGGTTTTTGAAAAATTTCTGGTTAAGGTTAAATATCGGTTTTGGTTCGGTTAGGCTTATTATTTTGGTCTAGTTCGGTTAAACTGGTTAAATTACGGTTTACTTAATTTAATTGGTTAGTCCGAGGACGAAATTGAACCGGTTCTGTTTTTTTTTTTTTGTCTACTTAATATAACTTGTAGAAGAGATAGAGAAGGTTATAAGAGTGGTGGTGATAAAGGAAATCAAAGGATCTCAGTACGGAGTGCAGCTAGAGAATGTGGTGAGAGATCGTTTAGCTGCAGAAGATAAGTACGAGGAAGAAGAAGAAACCGAACTTGAGAAAGTCGTTCGTTTTTTTCAGTCTAAGTACTTCAAGACCAATTCCATCATCACTTACTACTTCTCTGCCAAAGATGGCACTTGCGAGGTAAAAAATCTATTGCCTAAAATATTTCGAATCGTATCTTTTGGATAGAAAAAATGTTTTCATTAATTCATTTTCCAAAGTGCAAACTTAAGCAAGTGAAGAATCAAACTATGTTTGGGTTGAGCGTTTAACTGAAGAAGTTGTTTGAAATCAAATACTAGACGTTTTAGTTTTATTTGGAAAAAAAAACTTCGTTTAACCGCATTTAACAACTTATATACACAATATGAGGACTAAGATATTTGGTTACTGATTAGAGAGAAATTGTTTGTTGATTTTGTGGAAGATCGGGTTTGAGACCGAAGGTAAAGAAGAGGAGAAATTGAAGGTAGAGAATGCAAATGTGGTAGTGATGATGCAGAAATGGTATTTGTCCGGAAGTCGAGGAGTTTCACCTTCGACCATTGTCTCCCTAGCAGATTCGCTGTCTGCAGTTTTAACCTAATATCCTTTACATATATAAGCTTTAATTGATGTGTGTTATCAAAGTTTTAAAAACAAAAGTTATGTGTGTTTTATGTTGTTAAATGAGACATTATTGTGTTTGGTTATCTTTATAAAATGATTAATAATTACTTGGTCAGTGATTAGTATTTCAAAAGAAAAAAGAAATGTGAAATGCAAAAAAATTTAATCAAGGAGCTAAAAAATACATAATTACGAATTTGCTTTGAAAAAAAAAATTAAAAGGAAATTTAATTTAGTTCATTTTGTTTAATAAGATAGTAGTATATAATTACGAGTTGGAAAAGGGAGTTTCAACAAGGACTTGTATTGGTTTTGTTGGAACTTTCAACAATATCTATAAAAAAATGTTCTTTCATTCAGCTTGATTGTAAAAAGTGTCGTTCTTCATAGTGATTACGCAAGCACATGATATTTATAGTCAAACCACCTGAATTTAAGGAGTTGTACATATTTTTCTCATGTTTGTGGTCAATGCTTTTTCTAGAATATCCAGTACAAACAAAGATGGTTACATTTGCATACGCTTTTAGAGTCATCTTTCTTCACATACACACACTTTTGTTGTTTCCTTATAAAAAACGTATCTCAGAACACTAAATCAAATTTCAAGCTTAAGATTGAAGATGTATCAGGACCTATAGAGGGTCTAACCCCAAAAGGGCAAAATAATGCTCCATGGAAAAAGAATTTCGGAGCAGGGACAAGCTAAAGTCTCAGTCTTGAGTTACAAGAAATCCTTTTTTTCACTTTAGCCGACCAAGTCGAGACTAAATCTGAGAAGTGTAAGTTTGTGTCCCTAAGGAGATAATTTTCTACCTAATCATTCGCAACTATATTGAGCTTACTTCAAACATCCAGACATTTAGGTTATAAGGAAGGTATACCATGATTATTGAGCTTACTTTTAACATCCAGACAATAGCATTAAAACCGAGGTGATAATAAATGAAAGGTAGTCCAAGTTACAAACACCAAAGAGCTTCGTCTTGATCTTTTTACTCCATAGTCTTATTCTTCATCTTCTA